TGGGATGATGTTAATTGATTTTATATCAAAATATATATATATCTTTTAACATCAACATGTTCATATACATGTTTAAGGTTGCAAAATACTTGCAAACGTCACCTCTTAACTCAAGGAGATAATTATTAAAGGGTATGTCTATTTTTTCTCAAGTAGTTCTAGAGAATTTCCTCTATCCAAAAAAGAGCAATAGGAAATCATCTGATCCCAATTTAAAAAAATACCCTAACCTATAGCAAGCGAACTGCTTACAAAGAATTAAGCAAATTTTCCTTTCTCTTTATGAAGCAGACTATTTATTTACATGGTGTGTGTTTATGTATTTAACATTTGTTTTTTGTTTTTCTTCGTCTTCATAATACAGGTTTTGGTATTTTAATTAGCCTTTGTCTACATTTTTTTTGGCATTTATATAAGGCGCAAAAAAGTTCATTGCTTTCTTATGAACAAAATATGCAAAAACTGATAAACATTGCTTTCAACATTTTGTGGCATTCCACACCAAAAAATGGCGTATCAATTAATTAAGCTTTCAAAAAACCAATAACTTTTTCAAATAAATAATCATAATAATTATAATGAGCCTCCCAACCCATATGCCTCCTCCACCTTCTTCACTGGCATGGCATGTCATGGTAAGGCATGTTAATAGGCAACAAACAAACTTATTAGAATTTACTAGGGCAAATTAGAATATGGCAAACTAATTCGATTGGCATTAGGGTGCGGGTCACAAGTGGCATTAATCAATAATTATAATATATATATATATATATATATATATATACGTATTCATGAAACTTTTTATCCATTCGAACCTATTATAGCGTGAATACTGCTATCCTGATTTATAATATTTAAGGCTTATATACATAGCTCTTGAGATACTATTTGAACTTTAGGCTTAAACATTGCAAAGTTACCCTCGTATTGACTTGGGGTTAAATTACACTTTATATTGCCGTTAAATTCCAGTTTCGTTTTGTTTTTTTTTTCATTCAACATTCTGACAAATCTAATATTGATAAACAATAGCGAATCATTTGAAATTACTGAATTTGTCATATTTCAAGAGGCAAATGAAGATATCGCATTTCCTTCCTGTGCTTGTTGCCACAAATTACAAGTGGAATTCCTTTTCTTTCGTCTGCCTGCCACAATTGCATTGGGATTACTAGCCAGCCAACAAAATACCCTGGCCCCCGCTCAGTCAATATTTGATAAATGGCTTATTGACGTGATAACAATCGTACAGCAAGAAAAAATACCGCAAACCGTTGTAAGACACTCAACGAGAAACGAATGGCGACAGTAAACATATTTTTGGCTAGGGACACACATCCGCACAAACACATAGCAAGGATGTTGTCATGTTAAACATAACAAGTACAGATGTAAGTAATAAACAGAAATTGTTTTACTGTTAAGGACGATTTCTAATTCGATTGACGGCAGACAGAGATCCTGTAGCTAACCGCATTGGTTGGAGACAGGTTGTATTGTTGTTTAGTTGGTGTTTAGATAGCTGAGGTATCGATTCGAAAATTGCGTTGTTACAATCAGTGAAATAAAATTGTATTTGTTTATTAATTTTTTGTCAATTCTAAACAAAAAAAAAAAACGAACAAATTATATGCCAAGTGATAACATCAACAATGGCGTATAATCAATTTATTGTCACCGGCAAAGCCATACGACCCAGTGTACCAAGGAATGTCCCGCAGTTACCAATGCGTAAATTTTATAATGCCTCGTATTTTCACGACACTCGTTATCGTCATGAAATTGCCAATCATTATCGTGATTTTAAAATGCGTCCTCGCTTGCGTCACAGGAAACGGAATATTCTATCCTATAATTATAGTAAAACTGCATCGTCGACAATACGTGAAGCACCCTCGGAATATTTGACGGAATTGTCAATGGCTAAGCAGCATTTTCCAAGGTAAAGATTGAAACGGTTGCATTGTTGCCTTTTTAGCATGACGACGTTTTGGGAACTGTTTCATATGTCATTGAAACAAAGGACCCTGCCCCGAAGGTACTGTTTTCCCACAACCATATATTTTTTAAAAATTTGAATTTATGTGGCCAATCCCAAAGGATTACATCTCGAATTGCCAACGAATCTTTGCTTAATTGGTATATGATTTATATTTCAAACCCCGATATTGGATTTTGTTGCCATAAAATTTATGTACGTCATGTAGCAAAATTCGTTTTTACTTTGTTGTTATCTGGGGAAATTTAAAACTTTCGTTTTTCGCAGTCTGTTGCACGTGCCCCGTAGTTCTTACCTTCCAAAATATATTATACACGAGCCTTGTCAAATTACAACAACAACTACTACTACCACTCTACTCCACCACCGCCGCCATCAATACACACTCACACATATGCATGTTATGCCACGAAACTAACCTTTGAAATCACGACACTCTACTGTTCGTCTGATGACAACAAAGACTATTCGCAAAACCCGAGTACTACTCCTAACCATTCCAACCGTTTTACTGTTGCTTTCGGTCTAATCTCAGGCTAGTTCGCCGTTGTTGGCCATTGCTAAATATGAAACTAATTACTTACAACGCAAGCCATTAATGCCACTCAGAAAGGCATTAATCCTAGCAACCATACCCAGCACACAGACGATAAGGCATGAAGGTGCCATTTCGGAGGTTCACAGCTTACTGAAAGGATACTCGCTCACCACCTCCGCCAACTCCGCGGACTCATCTTCTGTACGGCGAATTAAATGTGGTGGCAATGTATGTGTATTTGATACAACGTATGGGTCGACAAACGCGTCCTAAGAATTTGTGCAATGGTATTGGTTAGATTTTGTTGTTGTTTCTTGATAGCATCTACAAACGCTCAACATTCTTGTATGACATGGCACGTTGCTGGGTATGGTGTGTGTGTGTGTATTGTGCCTCAAGGGATTAAAATATATGTAAATAAATTACTTGCAAAAACTGTGTAAAAACAATAATGGCGACAGCGAACAAAAACACACACACTCACACACCGTCTATTAAACACGAACACCACTACTCGCATATAATTGCCGAGGAGAACCAGACTAACAACGGTTTTTAATTTACATTGAGGGCTCTTTTAGTACACGCAAAATACAGTACTCGGTTAACCGCTTTCAAGGCCTAACCGCCTTCTATCGACTCATACTGGTCTGGACACATGTTGCTCCATACCCTCGTATGAAAAAAGGAATAAATTTATTTATTCATGCCATGCAAGCAAAATCGCATGAACACTTATGAAAAACAGCCGAATCTACATACATACGTACACCACCAAAATTTGTACATATCCAATAACAACATATCTCTACGATTGTTTAAAAATTACCAAATTACCATAGATCATATAGTTATTCTTCAAAGTCTTCTGTTTTCAATTGGTTCCTAATATTTTCACACACACACACATTTTCATCCAATTTCAGATTTGAGAACGATCAGACAACACGTGGACAACGACGATTGTGTGATGACAAACGTGAGAATTTAGTTTACAACGATACCCTCAAGCGCATTCGAAACGCCACCAGAGAAGACACCAACAGTATTGAATCTTTGAGAAATTTGGTAAGACGTCAGCTGAAACAGCGATTTCAGAGACTCAAACCAAATACGTCCAATACAAGGGCAACAAACAGTAAAGACGGCTGCCAACAGCGACGACGTCGTAGTTTGGGGACACTCGAAAGTGTTGATGGACTGCTAACACACAGGCATCTGCATCCGCATCTTTATCAGCAGCAGCAGCGACAACAATTACTGGAGGATTACATAGAAATTCCATTCGCCAACGAGTGCTGTGTAACACGAACCCTTCGCAATTCTCTGTGCCATCCCCCTTAGCACAGTACCATCAAGAACGGCGGTGTAGCATTGGCCAATGCTAATACCACCCTATCGCATTATTTAGAACAGGCAACAGCTTATTACGAACAAGGTTTTCTCAATAGCATTGAGTACTTGAAAAACGTAGGTGAACGCAATCACCAGCGACGACGTAAACACTTACAACAACAGCAACAGCAACAAAGACAATTGCGTCATTCTACAGACGGCGACAACGATTGTCCGAACAACGACACGACAGCAACTGCTGGTGTTAGCCCACAATCGAATGCATCTGACACAGAGCAGCAACAGCAACAGAGCTGTAAACAGAACCCCCATTGCATTTGTAATCCAATTTTGAAAATTATCGCCAAGAAACGTTCTTTTCGCATTTACCGTTTTAACGAAAGGGAAAAGCCATATCCGTTCGACGCCGAGACCGACCGTACACACTGGCCTATACGTGTTCAAATCAAGCCAGCCGACAGTGCTGCAGTATTATTGCCACCGACTAGAGGAACTGGAAACGGCAAAGGAAATTGCAAATCGTCAAAGAATTCTGAGCCGCCAACGGAGGAGGACAGAGCTGCAAGAAGCCAAATCCAACACAACGACTCTTGGTGTAGCATGAATTTGCAGTTACAACAACTACAACAGCAAAGGCCAAGCTATCAATACAATCAGCAACCAAAAACAAGTACTCAACACAATTATCCCGCCAAGGAATTCCTAATTGATGCCCTCATCGGAAATCTGCAAGAATTAGAGATTGAAGAGTATCCCCTGAATCTACCCCGCATAACATTGAGTGACTACACCGACAAATATCCCACAGAATTGAGCATTTCAACAGCAACAGCAGCCGCATCACAGCATCTAGCCGATACATCACTTCTAAGTGGCAAAAGCAGTCTAAATTCGTTTCTGTTAAGTCGTCAGGAAAGCGTCATTGACTTGCCAACGTCGACACTTGGTGTGCCCACAGAATCTTCAGATTATTGCAGTGAAGCCAGACCACCGTAAAACCGACACTGCTCCAAAAAAAAATATATATATATATTTCCTATACAGATATTACGACAGACATCCATTTCGATCGAATCCCCCACAACCCAACCCATCCACCAACAGCATTAGACGTTCAGACGTTTTAATTTTGAGCCAGCAAAGAGAATTCGATTGGCTTCACTAAACCATGGTGGCTATTGAACATCGTTCGAAATCTTCGAATACTACAACTTCAACATCCATATTATCGCCCACCTCTAATTCATCGGTCAATTCAGCCACAACATCGGTCACTTCGACCACTTCCCTTTCGACCAAATCGACCACCACCCTTACGGTAAACAAGAAAATGTCCACGGAACCAGAAACATCGTCCTCATCCAAAAGTGCTGTTAGCCAACGTCAAGTCGAGGCTAAAGTATCGAAAAAGTCGCACAAGGATAAGGATGGTGGTGGTGCTGCTGTCAATAATCAGGAAGCAACAAAAAAATCACTGAAATTGGATCTGAAGGGCAAAGAAACCGATTTGGAATCACTCAAATCGCCCAAATCCCCCATCGGAGGTAAGCATCCTAGGTCATTTGGTCACCATAGACCAAACCAATAGACAATGGAAAGAGATCTCAGAACTTAGATAAGAGGAACTGTTCGTGTGGTGATTTGTTGAAAATGAAAGTACTTTAGATCGAAGCAATGCGAGGATAATGCACCGAAAATCACGTAACACTCCAAAACACATGTGTAGAACACTATGGCCACTTCTCGGAATCCTCCAATTCATCGACTCTTCTATTTTATCATTGAAATACTTGAAACTATTTCATTTCATTTTTTTCAAAATCAATTTCAAAATTCGCTGTGATCTTGAGAAGTACTTCTGATACACCCCAATACACACAAAAGAAGAACTTCTGGTGTACTTTCATTTTATGCAATGCCCTCGGACAAGCTTCTCCATTTCTAAGATGGTTTCTTCTTGAGCACATATCGATAGATATTAACGGCCGTTCTACAAATGCGAATACTGAGATTTCATTTCGCATTGGAGGTGAAGGTCTAATTAGTCACAATGTATCGGCGGTCAGACACGGCCTCATTTCGTTGCTGCTTTGCGATAAGTTTTGACTAATCGGACCTTGGTGTTGTGTTTTATAATATTGTCTGTTTTCTCTGTCTTTAGGTCGCCTGACCCACCAAACCTCACTGTCTTCGTCCGTTGATGTAGAGGATCGCAAAACATTGCGCGAGGCCCTCTATCAGGGTATATTCCATCGCCATCGAAGAACAATTTTCGCCTTTGGAAGTTTCCTGCGCATGCTGCGTAGCCGCAACTCCCAGTACAACTCGATACGCAGTGCATCCGAGGGCGAGGCCGAGGTCGAAGAGGTCAGATAAGATGAGGAGTTGGTGGTGGTGGATGATGGTAAACATGACATGATGAACCATGATGAAACTGGAAAATAAACAATTCACATTTTTTTAACATTAAGAAAAAGAAATGTATTTTATAACAAAACAACAACCGATAAAACAAACATATATACATAATAATTATATATACATACACATACATATATATAGTATATACATAACAAAAAGTGCATGTATTGTATTTAAGAAATGGGAACAAGTTCATAGAATCCATTTTTATTTCGTTTTCTTGTTTTCGTTCGACAAAATTTTGTTAAATTTCAAAGAAAGTTACAAAAAAAAATTAAACATGAGAAAAACAAAAACAAACAAAAAACAGGTGAATTAAAACACTATTTTTCGTAGCGATGTATAAGAAAATCTAAAAAAAAGAAAACTACCAACATTTTATATGTACGAATAACGACTTGATTAAAATTATACATATTATATCCATTGGCTTATTAAGTATAAACAAATAAAGATAAAATTAAAAAAATACAAAATTGAACAACAAAATACAAGCTTATAAAAAAGTAAAATAAAAAACAAGTTTTCAAAATAATAACATATTGTTTAGTTGAGTACTTATAAACATGTATACATACATACATCCATATAAACTTACAACAATTATTTATCAAACACCCAAGAAAACATTCCAGTTGCGAATTTTTAGTTGGTTATCCCAATATTAATTTCTATATGAATTTGTTTTTCCAATACTAACAATATTGAATATTATTGAAAAGTTCAAGAGAAAACCGTAATAAAAACAAAAACAATCTAACAAAATCTTCATTGTTGGCTGTAAAATATTTTATTTTATTTTTTTTTTTCGTTTTTGTTCTGCTGTTCGTTCGCATAATTTGTTTCATCTCAATAACTATTCTTTTTGGGGTAAATATTTTCGTCTCATTGTTTTTATTGTTATTTTGGAGTTGTAACCAGCATGCCGTTGATATTTTTATTATTTCCACAATTCCCGTCCAATATAGATTTTTTTAAAAAGTTATTTTTTGAGATGTTCACACATTTTGTGCATTTGTTAATTTTATTTATAGAATAAAAAGGTTTCAACTTGTTTAGAATGATTAATTGCAAAGTATTTACCCGCACATGCACAAGCATTATATACAAATGACAAAAGATTGTTTTGAAGTACTTATTTTATTTTTTCGATTAATAAAACCAAAATTGTAAACTAATCGTTCAAACAAGCAAAGAAAATGAAAAATGAAAACCAAAACCAAAACCAAAACAAAAGCAAAAATGTATATTATTGAAAACATTGAAAAATTGATGCCATGTACTCTCAGTTAACAATATAGGAAATTTTATAGTATTTATTGTTAGCAATAGACGCATACACTATCTACTCTTTCATATCGACTTATAGACTTCCGACTCTGTTTTTTTATATTATATAACTTCTTGTGAAAAAACGAACTATGATATATTTCTTAACATTCAGCAGATATGTTCAGGTGAAAGACAAAGGGGACATATGGGACAGGGTGTGTAGGCAATGAAGATATGAAACCATAGCTAACAAAGATGCATCTAAACGAATTCTGAGTTTTATTCGATTTATAGTGAGCAGTTTGCATTTTGATACAAAATTGAAATACGTAAATCAGGAATATTTAATAGTGAAAACATTAGCTCTACATGATCTTGATGATGATGATGATGTTTGGATTCATGTGCTCGTAAATATTTTCACAATGATTACAATGCTGTCACTATACCAACTATCTCTTAAAGTCCTTATTGTATCATCAATCTATCGGTTTATATGTCATCATATGCCCTTGTCTTAGCCATACCTAGAGTTCAGACATAAATATCTAAGGTTTGTTACTGAGTTTAGCTCTATTAATTACATTCATAGGTATGAAAATATTCTAAGCCAAACCAAAGACTCTGAGCCTTATTCTCTATACTTTGTAACTGATTTACAAACTAAAATACTATGATATTTTGTGAACAACAACAACAACATATTTTTGAGGAGTTCCAAAATAATGCTGACAAATATTCTACAAATATCATCACCGAATCTTGTATACTATACCCTTTATTTTATTTACCAAAATCAAAAGACAACGATGTTATATAATTATCACTTGACACGTAATTCCTTCTTCTATCCCCACGCTGTATTCCTTATGGAGTCTTTGGGCAAACAACTAAATGTTCAGATTATAAAATTGCTATATACATTGCTGGAACAAAGCCTTAATTAAAATATATACATATATACATACATACTTAGAAACACATGCATATATAGTTATTCATAATGCATACAAAGCGTTAACTAGAAGAATTAAAAAATATATACATAAATATATGTAAAAAATTGAAATGAAAAAAAGCTTGAAAACTATTTGTTAAGATTCGAAAAACACCTAACAAAATTAGATTTTAATATAAAATAACATAAAAAAACAATTCTATTGGTTACAGGTTGTTAATAAAATATTCAAGTTTCGCTTCTTCGAAAATAACAAAATTCCCTGCATTAATGAGTATCATTTAACCCACATCAAAATAGAAACTCCAGTATTGCAAATTTGTATTATTTCTGATTGTACGACTCATCTTTGTTACGTTCCATAAAAATGGTTTAGTTTGTGCAATTTCCAAAAACAAACAGAAATGATAGTTGTTATTCATTTTGTATTTATTAAAAAAAAGAAAGAAAAACATTAACCTCTGTCTAATACTATAACAAATATAATTATTCTAAAATAACACATTTTTTCTACAAAACATTAACAATTGGCATGTAAACTATATTATTAATGACTAAAAAGCGAAATTTAAAGTTGCATTTTAAATAAATACCTACTTGAAACGACAGAAAGTAAAAAAGAACAAAACTAGTTGCAAAACGAAACGCCGAATGAAATATGATTGACAATTCTAGCGACGGAAAGGACAAAAATAACAAAAACAACATTTACAGCAAATAAAAAGTTATAAATTCTACATTTTAAAATGTCTTTTATTTGTGGTCATATGCAAGTGTAATTAAAATATTCAAAAATATATGTTTTTGCTTTAACGACATCTGTGATCGATGCAAATACTTAGGCATGATTTTTTTTATTAATTCCAAATTGCCATCATGCAAATTTAGGTGTCGCTCTATACCATTTCTCCGCCGTTAATGCCCCTGTTTGTGTTATCATTTTACAGTGGATAGTGTGAGCAATGTATAGATTCAACGTCGATAACACACAACACATGATTCCATGTTCGAATTTCAACTTTATTTTTTCAGTTAGTTTTACGTTTTGAGACATATTTCTTCTAATTTCACAACACAGATCAAATTAAAATTCCAGTTTCAATGGATGTCCATAGCATTTAACTCTTACAAAGCCAAAACAACAAAGTACGAAGCCATGGACTTTAAAAATATTTATTTGATTCATCTTTTATTCTTTATTTAAATTCAAGTATCTTCCATAAGATGGATTTTGTAATTATTTTTTTGATTGTCCAACAATGATGAATATTTTCGTTCATTCAAATGTGACAGCGTGTACACCGCTTAAGCAGTCGAAATAAAATCCGTTCCACCATAACCACTAATCGATAACACAGTTATCGATTGTGTGTTTCAATTTCTATATGTAATCGAACCATAATTTATTGTTTTTTTTCGGAATTTTGTAGAGTTGGGCAATCTAGTTCACGTAGCGAATCGATCATTCTCGTTTCCTTTTTAAAAAGGAACTAGTTCCTTAATGTAGTTCCTTTGAACTATGTAATTACTTCATAATTAAGAGTCAAACCACGAATGAGAGAGGGAACAACGCTCGTCTGTACATGGCATTAGACTTTTCAATACAAAAAGTCGATTAATCGAAAGTCGATTTACTTATCCCTAATCATAATTTGCCTAAACCTCATTCGTAAACAACACGGTCTCTATCCCACCTCATTCGTAAACTTTCGGTTATACCATTTTGAGTTCATCTTTATCGGTCATTTTGTCTTCTCCTCCCATTCGTTAGCAGGTGGAACGTTTTTCAATTTTTTCAGTCGTCGTTTTTATTTTAGCTCCGTTCCAAAACCTAAAAGAATTGGCATATTTACTAGATTTGCGTTCCCGAACGTTTCAAATTATTTTGTACTCTGAGACTTGAAATGTTTCCCTTTTACTAGCTTTACTATTAAACAAGTGAAAAAGCGTTAAGTTCGGCCGGGCCGAACTTTGGATACCCTCCACCACAGGTATACTGACAGGTATTTGAAATGAAAAAGTGGGCCGATATTTATAATTTTTAGTAGAGATATTTGGTACGCAATATGAACCCAATGTACAAAATTGCAGCGAATTCGGTTGAAAAGCGCGCTCAAGAACCCCAAAATACCGAAATTGGGGGGTACCCTTATATGGGGGATATCCGAAAAAATTGACCTATATTTAAATTTTTTGTGGAGAGATTTGGTACCTGCTAAGAACTCAAAATACTAAATTACAGCCAATTCGGTGAAAAATACGATAAAAACCCAAAAAATACTGAAAATTAGGAGGTACCGTTATATGGGGGCTACAAGAAAAAGTGGACCTATATGTATAATTTTTTGTGGATACATTTACTACAAATTCGCTTGAAAAACGCGCTCAAGAACCCCAAAATACCGAAAATTGGGGGGTACCCTTATATGGGAGCTATGCCTAAACGTGGACCGATATATCCCATCTTCGAACTTGACCTGCCTGCAGACAAAAGACAACCCTATGCAAAATTTCAGCACCCTATCTCAATTCCTTCAGAAGATAGCGTGATTACAACAGACGGACGGACATGGCTAGATCGTCTTAGAATATTACCCTGATCAAGAATATATATATATTATAGGGTCGGAAATGAATATTTCGATGAGTTACAAACGGAATGACAAAATTAATATACCCTCCATACTATGGTGGAGGGTATAAAAAGTACTGGAACAGACCATTTGTTGGCGAAGGTTTGCGTACGACGTCGCTTGGGTCTTGGCAGAACGACGATTAACAAGCGAATTTTATGAAGGCTGGAGTCTTGGAGGCTTCCCACTGTTCTTTTGAATCTCTCTCTCTCTCTCTCTCTTTTATTATTTTTTTTTCGTTTTTCCATATATAGTTCCTTTGCTCCATATAGTTCCTTTGATCCATATAGTGCCTTTGCTCAATATAATTCCTTTAGTTCATACAATTTATTTGCTCCATATAGTTCCGACTCCTACATAGTTCTTTTGAATCTCTCTCTTTCATCATTCTTTTTTTCGTTTTTCCATATATAGTTCCTTTGCTTCATATAGTTCCTTTGCTCTTTATAGTTCCTATGCTCCAAATAGTTCCTTTGCTCCATATAGTTCCTTTGCTCTTTATAGTTCCTTTGCTCCATACAGTTCCTTTGCTTCAAATAGTTCAAAAAAGGAACTGGATCAGAGAAAGGAATTATATTAATTAAAGAACTGGAACTAGTTCCGTTCGTTCCTTTCTCGGAATAGTTCCAATGAACTAGTTCGTTCCGGAACAACCCAACTCTAGAATTTTAATTTTGGTGCGCGAGTAGAGTAGTGAAAATATATAAAAAAAATGTCGAAAACAAAATCTAAAAAGTCAAGAAAATCTGAATCGGAAGAATCTTGTGATGAAAACAGTACCAGTTCATCGGAATCATCAGATCAAGAAGAGGAACAGCTAAAGAAGAAAAGTAAGCACAAGGACAAGAAGAAGAAGACCAAATCATCCAAGAAAAAACACAAGTCCAAGTCGGATTCTGAAAGTGACTCCTCATCGTCGTCCGAGTCCTCATCGGAGAAAGAAGAAAGAAACGCCACAAGAAAGAAATCGAAATCAAGCGAAGATAAGAAAGAAGCATTTCAACCAAAACGCGAGAGAAGGGATAAATCATTGAGTCGTGAGCGAGAAAAAGACTTACGGTCCAAATGGGAAAGCCCCAAAAGAAGTTACAGAAGGAGTCGGAGTCGTGAGAGAAGTCGAAGCCGGCATAGAGACAGATCTCAGGAAAGGGATCGCAATCGTTCCAGCAGAGACCACAGAGACAGACTTGACGTTAAAAGAGAAAGAGACGAACGCAGGGATTTCAAACGTGAACATGAAGGTGGAAACAGGTCCAACTACGATAGAAGAGAGTAAGTGTCGCATTGTTTCCTAATTTAGTTTTTCGTATATAAATTTAATCGTTATATTCTTTTCTTCAGACGTAGCCCCCATCGAGAAAGAGAGAGATCAAGAGATAGGGGTTTTAAGCGAGAACCTCGCGGCACAGACAATCGATTTAAGAATCGCCGAAGGGACGACGATGACAATAACTATGAATGGGGAAAAGCATCAGAGGACAAAAAGTCCGAAGTGAAACAAGAGCCAGCAGAAAAAGAAAAACCTAACTTTGGACTTAGTGGAGCCCTTACTGAGGACACGAATAAAGTCAATGGTGTTGTCATCAAATACGCTGAACCCCTGGAAGCCAGAAAACCTAAAAGACGTTGGCGTTTATATCCGTTCAAAGGCGAAACAGCCCTACCCGTATTACACATACACAGACAATCGTGTTTCCTGGTGGGGAGAGATCGGAAAGTGGTTGACCTGCCCGTTGACCATCCCAGTTGTTCAAAACAACATGCCGCACTTCAGTACAGACTGGTGCCATTTGAACGCGAAGACGGCACATCTGGTAAACGGGTACGCCTCTACCTGATCGATTTAGATTCAGCCAATGGAACATTTTTAAACAACAAACGCATAGAGCCACGCAAATACTACGAGCTAATGGAGAAGGATGTTATCAAGTTTGGCTTCAGTACACGTGAATATGTCTTGTTGCATGAAAACAGTAAAGAAGATCAAGAGGACGACGATATCGAAATTAAGGAGGAAAATTGAAACAATTATATGAGACTTTTTTGTGAACCCAATAACAAAATAAAATGTTTAGAATATCAATTAAGTTTAATAGTTCATTTTGGCATATGCCACATTCCAATCCGGAGTATTGGAATTATGGCCAAAAATTTTTGGCCGCAATCTAATCTAAATAATCTAAAGGAGGTATATTGAGAATAGTAGAACATTCGTGCAAATTTTGGAACGGAATAAGTTAAAGTATTAGTGAATTAATTTTACGAAAATGAATCGAAAAAAATTAACTTTGACAAAATGATAAAAATTATTGAAATTTCCAAATTTTCGAGAAAATTAAAAATATTAAATGAAAAGTAGAAATCTGAACGGTTTCATCTAGTCTCCATCCCAGCTCATTCGTAAACTTTCGATTATCCACTTTGAGTTCATCTTTATCGGCCATTTTGTCTTCTCCTCCCATTCGTTAGCAGTTGGAACGTTTTTCCAGTCGGTGTAAAAGGCGCGAGAAAAGCATTCACTCGGCATCTTCGTAAATTACGCAAAATTAAAATTAATTTTATTTTAATTAAACTCAGTTTAAGTACATTAAATACTAGGATTTAACTCATCACAGATATTTTCCTTTCAAAAGCCGCGCCAATGGAGTTCCAGAGGATTTAACTCTTATAAAGTCCAAACATAGACACACGACGAAGGAGTTACAGCTTGCCATTCCAAATCCAAGGAGCTACAGGAGTAAGTAATTTCATTTGTTGAAGCCCATCGACTAGATCTGGCTTGAATTACGATGGATCAAATATATCAAATATATATGTATTTCATATACAGATAAATGTTTCCTACATTCTTGGAACGGTTTTAAATAGTGCTAGCCTAGCATATTTTGTGTGTATCTTTTAGGGCCCTAACAAAGACTCAAAGCACCAGCCAAAACAGTACACACAAGTCCCCGTAATCTTCAAGAATGCCGCCAAAGAAGAAACAAAAACCTAATGCATTCATGATATTTGCTTTGGAGTGGAAGAGCAAGCATGGAAAAGGGCTTTCCATAGATCAGGCCACTAAGAAAGCCGGCGAAATTTGGACGGTGGGTATCAGTCGTATCAGCGACCAATATTGAAATTAACTGCATTCTCATTTCATAGAAAATGGATGCAGGTCAACGGGCACCATATCAAGATAAGGCGAAAGAAGAGAAGATAGTGTCATCTCGCACTGCTGCACACAAACTTACATGTACTGGTGTCCCCGTTTCCCAAATAGAAAAGGAGAAACTTGATCACGAGAACAAGGTAAGGGCAGGGCAGAGCAGAGAGGCTGAACTACAGTTAAGTGTACAAAATGATATTCCATTTTAGGAACGTCTAATGAAACGGGATATTGAAACAACTGTCAGCAAAAGTGTTCAAAAGGATGGTAAACTATACTCTGCGTTTATGACATAGACGATATATTTTTAATTGTGTCAATGCCTAACATTACAGAATTGGAAAAGCAGAGCTACTATTTTATTATGGCCAATTATTTTACGAAAACATTAAAAGGAGGTGTTTACGTGCCCGCAGAACTGGCCGTTTCGAAATTTTCTCTAAAGGAGGGAGTTAGTCGTGTATATCAAACACTTATAAATCCAGGTTTGTCTTCTATTTGAACCATTTCGTTTGAAATATTTAACATTGCATGATTTCACAACAGGTGTTAATATCTACGGACATCAATATGAAGCTCAGCATCATTCGGAAACAACACACAATCTTCCGTTGCCGCCCAATGCTCTGGGAGACAAGAATCTCGGCAATATTTACAATGAAATTTTAAAATTTATTCGCGACGAAGATTCGAACAATTATCCACCGGTCTATACACATCGCGACTGTATACATATTGTGGAATCGGTATTGGAATTTCTGAAAGCCGATATCGGTTCAAATAACACCGAATTGAAAGTTTATCCCATTCAATATTTACTGTACATTATGAAGGAGGCGACCTGCGAGGCCGGGGAATTGGAGAAACCAAAAAGCTTTTACATTACAGATGCCTACTTTGAAAGAGATTTCTTTGAATTTCAAATTGGAATCGGATGTCAGGTAAGCTACATATTGATGATCGAATATTGTCGTCACTGTCTAATATGACCGTTGTAGTATCACGAAGACATTGATAAATGTAAGTATTGTACACAATCGTATGTTACACGCTGGGGATATATGTTTGCTGATTATATGTGTGGGGATTTGGCCATTCCTCTTGTACCTGGGCGCCACTGCCCATTGAATACCAATCTTAATGCCATTATAACAGAAGCCCCCAGCCGAAGTTACGACGACGAATCAATGGTGTCTATGAGCACCAGCTTAACACATGTCACCAAACCAGTAGCTGGTTCACGACATTATTATGACGATCCGAAACCAAAAGAGACCGGCAACAAATATTCCACAGACTTTCCATCCTTGGGTCGTCATGAAATGAAGAAGAAACATAAAATATCCCAACCACCACCAAGTTCTGCTAGTGGGGATGATGATGCGGACAATCCGGACGACTTGAATCCGTGGAATGTCCGTTCGCGACGCAATGTGCCGCGAGAACCAGAAAGTTCTCATTTTAATATTGACTATGGCGCTGGTAATTCCTCGGATGCCGATGACTATAGTTCGGTGGCAAGTTTTGGACGTGGACGAGGTTCGCTTGTTAGTTCGTTCAATAATTCGAATGCTAGTAGCTACGGACGTGGACGTTACTTTCGTCCTTGATCATTAGTCTGCCAGATAACAAAATGTCTTCATCGAAACCAAAATTCAAAGTGTCTAAACACTCCTAACTACTGTTTTTGTGACATTTAGCTTTAAGCTGTTAACATAATTTCAATTTCAGCTAGAATGCCATCTTCGCTATTTTAGTTACTACATGCATAGAGTCTAATCCGCTCGATTGCAAACCGTTTAATTGAAATAAAAATGTTTGAAACCAACAATTCTTTAAAATGTTCACATATTTTGCACCTCTTTATTGAAACTCCGTTTAATGGAAAAAATCGGCTAATTGAAAACAATATTACTTGAAATAAATAAGCGTGGGATTCGATCATTCGATCTTTTAAATGTGCTGAATGGAAGATCATTGCACCAAAACAACTTATGTGTGCAGACTGCGAGTTTTCCTTGGAACAAATGATGATTTGCGAGCCGAAATGGGTGAATAGGATAAAACAGGCTGAAGTTATTTCCAAATGTTTCAAAAAAGTTGGATTTATTCCTCGTACGTCAATATTCGATTTCTTAAACTTCGATTAAATATTAATTAAGCGGATTGGACTTTAAATATATTGCACAGCAATAAATAGAATATAGCAAAACAGCGATGTTTTCTTATTTAAATTGATTTTTCATTAAAATGTCATTTTTATTTTGGTACAGCATATTTTTTGTTTTGTTTTTACAAATATCTTAATTTAGTTTCAACTCGAACAAAAAGCGATTACACGAAAGCAAAATATAAACAATAAAACATTTCTCTATTATAAATAAAAATTAATGTCATGATGCAATCAATGTCTTGGTCGGTTAGGTGGTGTTAAGTTCGAAACGGATAGGGTATAATTAATACATGTGCCTTATGTCCCAAATGCTAATGGCGTATGGCGTTATATACTGTTAATTAATACTTAAGCAGATTTTACTTACAAAACTAAAATTAACTACAGGGCATTGGTTTGTGGTGTAAAACTTATTATAAGGAATGACCTTTGGTGATGCTTTGGGATGAAACCCTTTTACATGAGGCAAGAACTTCGTTTCAATTAAATTAAATAAAAATACCTAGTTATAAAACTGTACGAATGTTATGTTTTTCTTGTTAAAATACGTCATATATCGTTACGAATGTTTAGTTAGTAGTTCACCTATCATTGACTATTTTAATACATATTTGGTTGTTGTTATAAATTAAATTAATACAAAAAAGGAAAAAAAAACAAACAAACAACATGAAATACAAATTTTGCATTGCTAGCTTTTTTTCTGGAAAAAGGAGTATCTTGTTGCGTCGTGATTTATATTTTCCGTTTTTATAATCTCTAATTAACTAATGCTGCTTGACAGTTGGCTTTTTTAGGGACATCTTTAAGTTCTGTTGCTGTGACCTTATTTACAATGTCTTGAGCTTGACTAGTTGTCACTGCGGGCGTTGTCGTCTCCACCGCAGTCGTGGATAGATCACATGACGCCGCATGACTTGTGGCTGCTTTAACAGAGTGGGGCGAGGAGGCATCCAATGGTTTTTGGGCTGCTAATTGCACTGTCAGTTCAACATCAGTTTGTCCCGATGCAGTTTTGCTTTTTATCGATTTCGAAGCATACCGCTGTACAATTTCACTCGATGTCTGCTTAAATGTATCGGACATCAGTTTATGCACTCTGTCCATTAACTCGGGCAAATCATCTTTGGTTAGTCCTTCTGTGCTAAGGGCGGGCAATGCTGTTATTATAATATTGCCGGCGTTTAAGATTTTCTTTTTATCATTCAAAAAAGTGCAGTACGAGCTGAAGACCACTGGTAAGATGGGTATCTGCTCGTCGATGGCCATGTGAAAGGCACCTTTTTTGAAACTGTGTAATTCACCGGTATTTCGTCGTGTTCCTTCGGGAAATACCCACAATTTGATATTCTGCTTCTTGATTTTGCTGTTGACTTGGTTAAGTGTGTCTCTGGCCTTTTCACCCCTAACACGATCGATGAATATCAGACCGGCCAGCCAGGCGGCCAAACCAAATGGCCATGCATAAAATAGTTCACGTTTAGCAACCACCGTGCATTTGTTCATTACCGGCCAGATGTTAAACATTCCTGTGCGACAAGGGGAGGTAAAGGGGATTTGTTTAGTTATAGACATGCGTTATTGGAATGTTCTCAATTTCCATTCCATACATACCTAAAACGTCCAATGACGATTGATGATTTGCCACAATAATACAGGCTCGATCCTTTTCTAAATGTTCTTTTCCACGCAACTCCCATCGTAAGCCAATTAGGGTTGTTACGCGGTGACAAAATGCACTCGCCCATCTGCAAGAAAAAACAAAACAAAAGTTGCCATTAAATTTTGTTGGACTATGGATGGAGGGTCATGAATAAAAATGTTATTCTTAGCAATTTATAGAGTACAACATGACCAGCAATTATAGAGTACCCTAAACACTAATCATGTGTTGAAAGTATCGTAAAAATAAAATTCGTACCCTATAAATACTTCTACTTCTCTCATCGCATTTTGATTAAAATTAGTTAAGTAAAAAGAGTAATATATTGTATATTCAAGCCTTCAAAGTACAAATAAGTAATTCGATTTCTATAAAGCATAGAATATTTTTTTATCTTATAGACTAATCTTCTATCTGAATTGTTTTATTTATACGTGAGAAATAGCACATTTTATCCACTACAATATTCTTCTGAAAATAGTATACGCTATCTATATTTTTTATTAATTTAATTTTATTTTTTATTAATGTGTTTAGAAAAAACTTTACATTAATTCAAAGCCATCGGGCCAAGCAAAATTGAATTAAATTTTCTCAAAACAATTATGTACGTTTTATTGCTGTAACAGTTTCATAGAGTATGATATTGTGGTCACATAGTTTTATGACATTTTCTAGTTATCATTTTCGACATTTTAGAAATATTCCAAAATCAAATTATTATCTTTATTGTTTTTTTTCCATAAACAATTTAAGGTATCAACATTTTCAATTTTAAATTGTCCATTTAAACAAAAATCAAATCGCCTTCGGCACTTCATTGAGTGCCTCTATCAAATCAATATTTTTTTTATCTAAACTATAATTGTTTTATGTGTACTTGAAATGATACGACGACGCCACGTTTCATATCTAAATTAAGTATTTCGTCACTTAATAGCTAATTATTATCACAGGTAATAAACTTCATTGTGGAATAATTGATAGCTGAAATTGAAAGCAATGGTTCAGCTGGGAATTCTCAATTAGATTGTTAATAAATCATTAGCATTGGCCTGGAGACATGTTTTGGGAATATTGATGATACTAGTAGTATTATTAAATTGGCTTTTAATTGTCATAAATTGTGAACATTTTTAGGTTCTGAATGCAAAGGGGGCCATTTGCAATTTTGATACAGAACCAATTTATGAAAATCAAACATCGTTTTCATTTAAATAAAAATATAAGTAATCGCTCACATTCAATTGACAAAATAAATAATGAAAATATTGCTTTTATTGGACACTAACTATGCCTGCAATGTTCATTAAGGAACAGCACGAACCAATAAAGATAATGAATATAGATACGATGTTATAAAAAGAAAATCAATTAATCTAATGACGACAGTGGGCAACAAACCAAAATTCGAATTGCCAACAAATCCCAGTCTTGTGCTAGATTATATGTGTGGGACTTTCAATATTAAATTTCGTCGAGTAAACTTCAATTTTCCATTCATGAGAGTCTAGCCCAAAGGACCACGAGGGTTCCACATTGCCTAATTTAATTTTTCCAATATTCCCAATAAAGTTCAAGTGGAATTTTTAAATCGTCCTCTAAGACACCACTGTACCACTTGATATTATTGATTGGAATGACCCGTCCATCGACTACAAATGATTCCAAATACACAAATAAATTATTAATTGTATTGTTGACAGGATTGATGAATCAATCTAAGGACATACTAATATAAATAAAATAATAATAGAAAAGTTGACATGGATGACAATTTGTGGACATGGCGGGTGAAGATTTAATGTTCATTGAGGTCAGATTTCGAATATCAACTAAGATTTTCATATCAAAACCTTAAATAAGATACCTATTCATTATACGAACTAGGTATATATGTATGTAGATTATTTTACGATTTGAGTTTTTCGTAATACTCTTAGCAATACGTATAGATAGACAAAAGCTTGAATCTGTGATCAGACAGACAATTGTCATGTTTTGCCATTTCACTCTACAGATTTTTGTCTTCTACTTCATGCATTGTTTGTAAATATTTCAAAGCACGTACAAAAGATAGGTAACTGTGTAAACTATTTGTGCGTAATAGATTGGTAATGTATTTCAATCTTGAGTACATAGGTTCAAAAGGCTTATTATCCAAAGTACAACTGAATGCATAAAGTTAATTTATTTTATAAAAATATCAATTAACTGTCTAATTGTGGTACAATAATAATTATTAATAACTTGTCACATAGGTCTCAATTAAAAATTCATTTATATTGTTGTTTTAAAGGTCAAATTTCAAACTCCAGATAAAATCATTTGAGTGTTGACATTCTATTTGATTTGTATCTAAAATAATTAAATTATGTCAGACAATTTTAAATGAAAATCCGAAGCCATTATAACTCGAGTTAAAGTTTCGGAATTATTTGATGGATCTAATTGAAGGGAATCACTGTTAGGTTAATTTAATAGCACATATTATCGCCCTATACTAGAACTACCACTTATGAAAAATTGGTCGAGCGACAAAATTTCTTTGTCGGTGAGCGGCTTTGGGCGAAAATTAGGTCAAAATCCGGCTGCAATGATTTTCATTCGGGTCATTAGCACTTTCACCTTCGGTCTACAAAATAATATTTGATCACAAGAATGGACCTCTACTATATTTTCCTTCAAGCAGTTAACTCTTGATATGGCAATTCCTCTGGTTGTATAAGCTTCCGCAAAAATATATTAGCGGTATTCATGAATTCTTGTAAATTGACAATGCAGGCCTCCAAGTACATCTTATAAATATTGAAGATCGACAACAGTTTAAAATATCACAGCAACAAAATACATCGGCGTTCAGTTTATCACAAGGTTGTAAATTTACTTCACAAAAATGTATTGTAAACAAATTAGTACATTGTTTTTACAAGGGTGTAGAACAGCTGATTGTGTTGCCGCCATTTTGTTGTGAGTTTTTTATTTTGTGTCAGTGTTTCTATTTTTTGGCGAAAAAAGAAATTAAAAGAATTAAATTGTGGAGGTCAACAAATTACTATATTAGAAAGAAAGTGTAATAAAAGTGAAAACAAAAGATGAGGATGATGAGGTAAAGGAACTTGTTGGAGTATTTGCAGGAGCATAACTATTTTGGATTTTTAGGTAAGTGAATTACTTACATCAAAGCAGAAATCTATGGAGGAATCGATGTTTAAAAACACTCGTTAATTTCGCTATTCTTGTAATCAAAATCCCAAGAAAATTAATGATAAAAGCCTAAAGGAATTCTAGTTTCTACCAAACTCCTAATATTTTACTGTACAAAGAGTTGGAGGTAACTCCCTCGTCGTTACGTTTTGTTTACCATTACGATTTTAACAATCCACTGTTTTAAGAATTTGGACAGAATAGTCTGTAAATTTCTTTTATTATATATATATATATATATATATTGTTAGCTAAAATGCCAAAAGGCGTAACTAACAAAAACATAATTGTGTAGGAGAAGCAAAAAACTGTTCTGAATGAAAACTATAAACATGTCATGTGAAATGAAAAAGTATGCCCGGCAGGGTGATATTGCATATGACGAATAATAGACTATAATTTTTTAACAAATTTAGTTATTTAGTTTAATGGCAGTCATAACAATTAAGTTAAAACGTGAATTTTTTGTTAGTTACGCCTTTTTGCATTTATCAAATAAACCCACTTGTAGTTACGTCTTTTTGTTTTTTGTTAATAGAAGCTCCTGTTTTGACCGCAGACGTGTCATCTAATTGTGGAGGGTACAAAAAGTGCGGCCCGACCGAACTTAACGACCTTTTTACTCGTTTTGTTAACTATTTTTTGCATGAACGCCAGCTGTGCCGCCTCTCCTTTGCTTTCTTCAATTTTTCTTTTATTTTTTTTTTATTGTCAATAGACATAAATAATAAATAAACTAGGGGAACAGAACCGACGGCCTTGTTTAATAGGTATTTTCGTTGGGACAGACAAAATGCTTGGGAATATGGTCAACTGTTATTGATTTTCTCACAATTGTTTTTTTTTTTTATAAAAATGTAACTAACCAAATGGTAAATAATACAACACCTGACCAATTAGCACATTGTCAAGATATACTTACAGCAAATTACGAACATCACATGGACGAAACAGGAAGGCCGGTATCAGGATAATTGAGTTGAGCGACACAATGCCATAGTAGATGAGAAATTTAAAATAATACCGAAAAATGTGACTGGATTCGTAGAGAAAAGGTAGCATTAGTAGCACAACCAAACCGAGCAGTTCAAGGTACGATGTCATCTTGTAGAAATATTGCAGAACTCTCTTGTACACTTGCCTATTGTTGGTGGTGGCCGCTGTTGATGCGTCGTATTGGCTAAATGTTTCCAATGTGCAACTGCTGTTAAACTTTGTTGCCACAAACTGATGTATATTGATTTTATTTTTGTTGCGATGCTGCCAACTTATTCATGAAATTATTTTTTAGTCGGAATCGTTAGAAAAGCTATTTTTTTAAAAGAAAATAGAAGTGTTATAATATTTAATTGATTTTCTTTTTTTATTTCGATATGATTCCTAATTTTGTATTTAAAGGCTGAATAAGTATCATGACTATTGGCATTTTTTGTTTCTATTTGAAATTGATGCAGATCATGACTAAGCCATGTACGTAATCAAATTATAACTCAAATAAGACAAATACAATTGCTCAAATATTAGTTAACAGTGGCACAAATAAATCATGATCAAACATAAATTCATTGAGACACAGGCTTGTTCTGCACGTCTATTTATGATAGTGCTCTCAAATAATTCTGATCAGCTGTCATTAATTCTTTTATTTAAACACTTCATTTAGGCTTTTAATTTGATATATAATCTTGTTTATTTTTGAGTCAGCAATCACTTTTTTTAATTCGCTTAAATTAATTGCGAAAATACTGAGATTAGATTTTATTCTAAAGAATTTTATAAATAATTATTTCCCAAGATCGTAAAAATCGTTGTTAAATTTAGGTTCTATCAAAAGTGTTTTAATTTGTTGTTTTGATGTGGCAAGGAGTGTTTTTTGTATAAACATGTATCATTTCGTCATAGTACGTTTGCAACATTTAACAGTAGAAAGTCAACACACTTCTTGCTCTCACTCTCCCTCTCTCTTTTCTCTATGTCAGAGAGATAGGCAAAAACCGATTTCATGCAACCAATTTCAAATGTGTATTAAGATGAAACGCGAATGAAAGAAAAACAACAAACTTTGCAAAACAAAGAACTTTAAGAAACAAATCAAATATATTGCGTTCAATTATTGTTGTTTTTGTTTGTATTTTTTTTATCAGATGCATCAATTGAACAATTAATTGGAAAGAGCCAAATAGCCGATATAGATATAATGTATGGGTGCATGTATTTATATTTTTTTCAACTTGACAGGATATTCTTTTTGTTATCTGATACCGCTGTAAATATTCTTCTTGGTTAATTGGTTCGTTCTTATTTTTTTTGTGTGGTTTAAGATATCTTTAGTTTTGCTCTTCTTCCAATTTTTTTTGTTTGGATGGGATGCAAGTACAATTGACGTTGTTCGTCTGTATGTTTTATGTTTGTGCTATGCAATTTAATTCATTCACATCTGTCTCATTGCTAATAGTTAATTTCTTGATTAATTCTAACAGAGCCTGTCGCGTTAAGGGTGCGAACATAAAAAATGGAAGGTTTTTCGCCTTGTTTTCAAAAATGTAGCACTAATTTAATAAACTATTATGACTTCGATTCCAAAACCAACCACACAACACAACTGCTTTACATTTTTCCTTATTTTTCTATTTTTTATTTTTGCAACATGGGGCAGCGACGCGTGCTTCTTCGGCGGCGGTACTCTCATTACTGAGAAGAGAGCTAAACAATAGGGGTTTATAAGCTGAAAGAGGCGAATGAACTTTAAAACGGACCAAAGCGATAATGGGGTGTGTTCAGTCAGTTTGCTTGTTGGTTATTGCCAGATTGGATTGTTTTCAATAGTTAATGACTAAGCGGAAGTAGAAAACACATTCTGTGCTCTAATTTACTGTGCAGAGAACTGTTGTCATTGCCAGATTAAATTATTTTTTATATTCAATTAGAACACGGAAATTGACAATTCATATCCGGTTTTTACAATGCTATTATAATTTATATCTGATAATGGCAACATATATCTTTTTGGGACGTTAAATGTTGTAAAAAAATTACCTATGCCATTTAGTTATGAGCAATGTTGGTGTCAATTATATTTAAGTTGTCACTAAAATACAGGGGACAAATTATGAAAGTCGATAATGAGATGTATCGTGCAACGTCTTCCAATTTGGTATGGCCGTATTCGATACCGACTACATTTCGTCGAATATCCGACACTTTTTGTGAACAGAGGGGGAGCTGTGGCAAATTCATTGCAATTAAATAATAAATAAAAAAATTAATTATGACCTCCAGATACAAATCACAAAAACTTCAAAGAAAATACTTTTTAAGAGAATCTAAATGAAAAAAAAAAATAACAATGGATCCATTGGACAGTCGGAACCGCTTATAACGACGGCGGCCAAAGGACTTTATAAACGATATCAAATAAAAGACAGAACCTTTATCGAGACTTTGGATACAGTCGTAATGGCTGATATGTTTTATTTTCATTATATTTTTGACATTGTTCATCAAATAAGGTAGATGCCGAAGCAATCTATAACAATAAATAAATTGCTATAGAAAGGTTGTATTTAAATTCCCCGTTTTAATTTTTTATACAATTCAATTCAGAATATATAAAGAAATGTTTTAACCAATAAATGTTTCAATCAGTTAATTTCCAATTGTTTTTGCCTAAACAAGAGTATGAAATAAAACACATGATTTCAATTTTTTTTACGATTTATTAGTATTTTTTGTTCATATTACATTTGACATGGATGTACATTGAAGGTATTTATGGTTGATTATTATTATTATTTTGTTGTTGTTGTGTTTTTCATTGAAATACATAAAATAATTGCGGTTTTTGGAAAAGTTTACATATAATTTTACACAAAATACGGTTTAATAATTCATATTGGTTTTGTTGTTAGTTTTCTTTTCGTTTTTTTTCTTTTTGCTTGGAGGATATATGTAGGTTTTAATGTAGAAGCAAGTGTTGTTTATATAATTATGGTGGCATAAAAATGTTGTGTGTTCTTCATTTACTGTTTGTACATGTTTGTGTGACTTGGTGTGTTTGTTGTCAGAAAAATGAAACAAAAATTCCAGAATACACAAAAATTACAATTCGCCACTATTAAATATCGGTTTTGGAATTTGGCGTTTATTGGTAATTATGAATACATTTATAAATACATATAACTTGGTTGTTATGGTGGCCAGTCGCTGGTGTTTCAAAACCGAAGCTGGAATTGGTGTATTATTTTTTAGCCAAAACTGCTGCTTCCGCATTTTTGTTGTTTTTTGTTAGTTTCCTATACATATATGTATCAACATCAAATTATTCTATTTTTTAGTTTGCTGCCGCTTTTATTTTGACATCTGTAATATTTTTTTGCCATAATATATTTTTGCATATGTTGTATGGTTTGTTTGCTCAAAAAAATAATCTTTGTTTAGTTTTATGTGTGGACGCAAAATAAATTTTATTTCGACGCATAAGTGATTTACTATTAGTGTGTTTGTTCTTATGTTAGGAAATATTAATTAGAAACTTGTGTTTTTTTTGTTTGTTTGTTTGTTTGTTTTGTAATTCAGTTAGTATATTTATATGGAACATAAAAATGGAACTTATGATTTTAGTATAGTTTAGTGTTTTTGTAAAGGATTCCGTCGCTCTTGTGTATGTTTCTGCTTATTTGTTTTTATTCGTTTTAGCTTTCATCTTCTTTTTTTTCATGTTTTGTTTTATATAAATGCAGTTTATATTACACAAATATGTGTATCATTATGTCATATATAAATATTTAACTTTTTTTAATGAAAATTTGAGGTAGATTACATTTTATCTTATAATTTAAGTTTACACACCTTTTACAGTAAAAACATAAATGCTTGTAAAATAGTTTACCATTGCAATTTCTTGAACAGGGCTGACTATTTAAAATGAGTTTGGCATACAGATTGGCTTTGACGATTGGTTTATGGGAAAAATAATTCGTTGTAATGTTTTGATTTGTAAAGCAAAAAATCGGAAACCAATGAACGAGTATTCATCAAGCAGTATTCTTTTCCACAATATGCAAAATACAAATACAATTAATCAATATTTTGTACAAATTGTATGAAATCCAAATATCAATTGTGAATACATTCAACGTCTAGCTGAGGAAATACTTGCATTTTATCTAAAAACGACGAAAAACTAATTCGTGCAACTACTGCATTCAATTGTCATTCAATTGAGAGAAATGAAGAAATAAATAGACAAACCAAACGGCTGCAACATGACGAAGAAAATATGAAGGAAACAAACCACTGTTAAATAAAAACATCAATCTTTTTCTTTCGTTTTCCGTTTTTTACTTTTATATTTTTGTTTGAAAATATAAAATTTTACAATTTTTTTGATTAACAAAACAAAATTGTGGATTTTAATCTTAATTCTGTTTTGTTGTTATTGTTTTTTTTTTTTGTTTGTATGTAAAACTATTAATGCTTTAAAATTATAGATAAAAAATAATAATAAAATTAATATATATATTATTAAAAAATATAATAATGTAATATTGTAATTTTTTCCTTGACAAAAAATATACAATTATTTAAAAAAAATATATATATATATATATATTATTTTTATAATTTTATTATCATTCAGTTTTCATTGTTGTTGTTTTTTGTTTATATATTGAAGGATTTACAACTTAATGATAACATACAAAAGAAATGTATAATTTCTTGTTGTTGTTGCTATTTTTATTATTTTGTTTGTAAATATAAATGTAAATTTAGTACAATATAATAATGGTAAAGGGTAGATTTGTAAAAAAAATAATTATAAAACGAAAAGTATATTTATTTAATTATTTGTAAATATCAAACGGCTTAAATTAAAAACTACTATCACACAGAAGAAACCGCTCAATGATTTACAAATGCTTAAAAGATTAAATAAACTAAACATAAAATAATAATTATAATAATAAAAATATAACAAAAGCGAACTAAAGTTGTAAATATATATGTTTAATATGTATTTATGTAGTAGGATAGTAGATAGGCAAAAAATTAGATTTGTTTTCATCGAATTCTCAATAAAGAAACAAAATAAAGCAAATAACATCAAGATATGGACCCATGTCTAGAGAACCG